AGCTGCTGCTCCACCTCTCCCCATTACACCATCTGTGCTCCCTCCATGCACCTGCCAGAGGATGCTCTTTGCTGTCCCCTCTCCACACCTGTCCCGAGGCCACTCCAGCCTCTCTCCCAGCCATCACCAACAGCAGCTCAAAAACCCTGGCAAGAGGGTCAGGGGTGTTTTCCAGGCATTTTGTGTCCCCAAGCAATGAGTGCTGCAGCCATCCAGCCCCATTCTCTGTGACTATCCCGGTGACACCGTCACTGCCATGGTGCCAGGGGATGTTCAGTGCCATCAAGGTCACTTCCACGTCTGGCACGATGTTCCCTTGTGTTCTCACCACCACACAGCTCCCAGCATGGCTCTGGTGTTTGGATGCAGCTGGCAACGACCCCAGAGGTGACACAGAGCTGCTCTGTCCCACTGTCCCACCTTGTGTGGCCTCCAGGCCACCTCTAATTCCAGAGTGCCTGGGAGGCCCCAGCACTGGTAGGAGCCCAAGGGATCAGGCAGCAGGTGGGTGAAGCAGCACGACAGTGACAATTCCTGCTGCCTTTGGCACCCTGGGATGAAGAACAACCCCTGCTCAATGCTGTCTTTCCCTTTTCTTGTTTCACCCAGCCCATCCCTGCACTGGGGACAACCTGCCTGTAATAAAGTGTCATCACTGGGCCCTGCAGTGAACCAGTGTTTCTGCCTCCTCAGCCTCTCCTCGGCCATGCTCTTCCAGCATGGATATTTCTCACTTATTCTGTGTCTGGGGACACGAGGCTGAGCTGATTGTGCCCTGGCTGCATCTCTGTCAGGTTTTCCAGGAAGATGTGAAGTTCCTCACGGATCCAGATGTGTGTGCTTATTTTCATCCCTGCAGAGCAATGGGGACTGGGGTGTGTGGTGTCCCTCCGCCCCTCTGGGTTCTGCCCCATCCTTTTGCAAGCAGTGGCTCCAATTTGGGGTGCAGATCCCCCACATGGCCCTGGGGAGGGGGCACAGACCCATCCACCCACCTGGATGTGCTCCAGAGTCAAGTGGGCAAACGTGGTCAGCGAGGAGGTGCTGCTGGTGGTCACCTGCCTGTGACACTGCCCAGGGTCGCTGTGTCCCCCCACATCCCCACCGAGCTCTGGGGCAGGAGGTGGAGCCTCCCCTCTCCTACAGCCACGGGGGGTTCCCTGCCAGGTGGGCAGGAAATCACACCCAGCACTTTGAATTTCTCAGGAAAAAGAGAAAATTCCCCAAAGGCGGCAAAACAACAGTGAGGGGCTTTGCTATGGAAATTCAGAGCTGTGTCCCCTGGGGCTGGTGGCTCCTGGGATCTTGCTGGGCTTCACCTTTGTCCCTGCTGGCATCTCCTCAGCGTTCCCTGGACTGGGTCCCACTGGTGCTAGCAGGTCAGGAACAAACCCCTCGCAGGAAACAGGGAAATAAAGGAAAGCAGAAAAGAACAATTTCACATCCAGGAATGGAAATGACTCAGGGGCATTAAAATGCAGGGAAGATGAGAACGAGGAGGGTCCTGGCCCTGTTTTCAGCCACATTTTTCCCCTCTCAAAATTCCTAAGAAGGGGCTCTGTGAAGATGCCTGTGGCACCACTTCCCAGAGTGTATGATTGATGAAGAACTGTGGCAGGAGTCTCTGGAGTGGGGATGTGCCCTGGGTTATCTGTATGGGATCTATAGATCAGCTGCAGAAGAGGAAAGAACCCATGAGAATGTGGAGGAGAGGGAGCAGGAGCACTCCAAATTTCTGTGATCCTTACTTGGGGCAGATCCAGCATGCCCCTGGAAAAAAGGGGAATCTCAGGGATCTGACTCTGGGAGAGACACCTGAGGTGTGGAGGAGCTGGCTGTCCCCAGAGAGATGGGACAGGTGGGAACAGTGCTGCATTTATCTCTTGGGGATGTCCCCAAAAGCTTCTTTCAGATGGGATCAGTCCTGGTCCCCTCATTGCTCCAGCTGTGTCCCCACCAAGCCTACCAAGGTTTTCCCCTGGGTGGAGAGAGATATTTCCATTCCTTCCTCCACTGAGGAAGAGCCATATCAGTCACAAAGCAGCAACAGGATTAGGGGATTTGGCACAACCAGGAGCATCCCAATCCCACCCATGCCCTGCCCAGTCACATTGAGGTGTTCCCTCTTGGAGTTTTGGGAAGGGAATTTGCTCTGTTGCACAGCAGCACTCCAGGTCACACATTTCCAGGGGGATCAGACCTGGGACAACCCAAAATGATGCAGATTTCAGAGAGAGGACAGGGAAGATGAGCTGGCCTCAGGCCTGGCAGCTTGTGGGGGTATCTCCAGGAGGATAGGATCCCTCTGGGTGGGATGGTGGGAGCAGAGCAAGGGCTGGGGTGCTGCCTTGGCTACCTGCCCCTGGGGATGCAGTTCCCCCTGGGGGCAGCCTGGGCAATCCTGGCACTGGGAAACAGCATTTGTGCAATTCCTTGAACTCCAGCTCCTGGTTGCACTTTGAATCCAGAGTTTGGGACAGAAGCAGGTACCAGGAGGAAGCTTTATCAGGAAGATTGCCATGGAGAGGTTTGAGGGGTTCAGCATGGTCACGGGACACTGCCAGTGGGGCTCACTGGTCACGGGATGCTGTCACCACTGTCACCATCTCCCCAGGAGATGTGCTGAGGCTGCAAACCTCCTCTCCATCCCAGGCACCCACCTCTGCCCACAATGCCCCAGTTTTCCAGGCTCAGCACGGCTGAGGGCTGAGGCATTTTGGGAGCCTGAAGACAGCCGAGGTGATCTCATCCCACGAGTATTTTCTTGGCTCCTTCTCCTCGCTCCAACGCCTCGGCGATAAGGCTGGGCTGAGGTCAGTGGGAGGGTCTGGCATTGCGGAGCCGTGTGTCACCCCGCGGAGCCTGGGACACGGCACCGGAGCCTGGGACACGGCACCGGAGCCTGGGACACGGCACCGGAGCCTGGGACATGGCACCTGCACCTCCCTGGCTCCAGCCAGACACCGAGTCCCCGCCCCAGCCTCCAGGATGCTCCACCTGGGAAGAGGGTCCGTGCAGGCAGCCAAAGGTGCCCCCACCACTGCCCACAGGTCCAGCTGCTGTTGTTTCACCTTCTCCTGGGGAAAACAAAAAGGTTGAGGCTTTTCGTACCTCCAGTATTAGAAAGAAGGAGAGGGAACTCTTCAGATCACTTTCCAAAGGGGTCTTATCAGCCCAGGAGGGGTTTCCTGCTGCCAGGAATAGAGCGGTGTTAAGATAGGAAGGGAAGGATGACACAAACATAGATAAAGCTGGGGGACGAGCCAGGAGAAGAACCCTGGCTGCTGGGGCAGCTGGGCTGCTCCCTTGGAGCTCAGGTAGGAGCCCCATCCACCTGGGAAAGAGCAGGGCAGAACCACAGCTAGGTCCTTTTGGAAATGCCACTGCTGGGCTTGGTATATTGGAGTGGTGCATCATCCATCCATCCATCCATCCATCCATCCATCCATCCATCCATCCATCCATCCATCCCCATGGTGCTGGGCCTGGGCCCGTGTTTCCAGACTCTGCATGTTCCTGGGGACACAGGGACAAGTGCTGTGCTCTCATCTCCTCCCCACATGAAACTAGACCCTCACTGGGTCTTCAGGGTGCCAATTCCCACATTTCAGCCTTCATCCATGAGGATTTGACTTGTCACTAGGAAAACTGGGCTGGAAAACCTGTTTCTTGAACTTCCAGGTGCTCCTCTTCCTCCAAGTACCGACTCCATCTCTCAGCATTTTCTTTCCATGCTCCCCTGCCTTTGAGTCTGGTACCTGCTGCACATGGGAGATTTATTTATTTCCCCATTTTTTGGGAGATAACCCAGAGGTAGTGAGTTGTGCCTGCAGCCTGTGCCTGCTATTGCACCCTGGGTGCCCCAGGGGTGATACCAGCGTGTGATGGAGCAGGAAAACAAGGAGATGAGGCTGGAGATCCCCACATCCCTCTCCCCACATCATCCTCCCGGCTCTGTGCCAGTCAGAAGATGCCGAGTTCCCTCAAAAGAATGGGAGCTTAATGTCCCGGAGCTAATAAGCAATTTTCCCCTGCACCTGCCTCTCCCCGCTGCCTCCCCTCCGGCCATCTGCTGTCTCGGGGCCTCTGGACTCTGCACCGACAGCCTGGGGCGCCCGGGGCTGAGACGGGGCTGGTGTTTCACTGCTCTGGGGCTGGGGGTGCTCAGTGTCCCCCCAGAGATAAACCGGGGTGGGTTGAAGGGGGAATTCGGCCCCTGATGGTTTCCTCCATCCCTGTGTCCCCCCAGGGAGGTGGGTGGCAGAGCCCAACAGGGGAAACTGAGGCTGGGAGAGCAGCAGGGGCACCCAGACACGAGCTGGCAGGAATTGCTGCATCCACAGGGAGCTGGCAACCCCAGCCGGGGGGGTGTGAGGATGGAGGACACAGGAGGGAGGAATGCAAGGAGGGAGATGTGAAGAGGAGATGCAAGGAGGGGGAAGGTGAGGAGGGGGGATGAGAGATGGGGGATGCAAGAAGTGGGATGTGAAATACGAAGAGGGGGACATAAGGAGGGGGATGTGAGGGAGGGGGATGTGAGGAGGAAGACACGAGGAGGAATGTGAGGTGGAGAATGAGAGGACAGGGGTGTGAGGGGGGGGATGTGAAGGGGGGGATGTGAGAAGGAGGATGTAAGGAGAGGGACACGAGGAAGGGGGATGAGAGGAGGGGGGATAAGAGGAGGGGAGATGAGAGGACACAGAATGCGAGGCGAGGGGGATGCGAAAAGGGAGAATGTAAAGAGAGGGGTGCGAGAAGGGGGGGCCCGAGGGGGCAGAGCAGATGGGGCCAGCAGGCTCGGGGTTGCCCCGGCCCCGCAGACAAAGGCTGGGGCAGATTTACGGCCCGGGACAGCTGGCGGGCAGAGCCGCCCCCCCGCCCGCAGCTGCCGCTCCCGCTCCCGGCCGCGCTCCTGCGCCGGCGGCGGCCCCGGGGCGGAGCGGGGCGGGACCGGCCCCACATTCCGGGCATAGCAAAGCCCGGCCCGGCCCCCGCGGCTCCGGGACGCTCAGAGCCGCCGCAGCACCGCTCCGCTCCGCCATGCCCCGGTGAGTTCTGCCGCCGGGACCCCCCGGCGCCGGGAACTCCCCAGCACCGGGACCCCCCTGACCGGCACCGGGACCCCCCCGAGCGGCATCGGGACCCGCCAGCACCGGGAATCCCCCGGTACTGCCGCCCAACCCCCCCCGGCACAGGGAACCCCTTAGCATTGGGACGCCCCCGACTGGGATTGGGACCCCCGACCGGCACTGGGGTGCCCGGATACGGAGAGGCCCCTCGGGGAAAGGACGCTCCCCCGGCACCGGGAATCCCCCAGCAGGGATCGGGACCTCTCTCGGCAGCGGGACCCACCCGGACCAACAATCCCGGGACCGAGACCCCCTTGGACCGAGATCCTCCCGGCCGAGACTGGGACACCCCTCTGGGGCTGGGATTCTTCGACCGGGATCGACCCCCCCTGGCCCAAGGAAGCCCCCAGTCGGGACTGGGATCCCTTCACGGGAGCCGGGACCCTTCTCCCTGGGATCGGGACTCACCCCCCCCCGGCACCTGGACCCTCCCGGGGAAGACCCTCTCCCATACCGGATCCACCCCCAGGGACTGGGAACACTCCTGGAACTCTCCCAAACGGGACAGGAACATCCCCACGGCACTTAGAGCACCCCCCTTGCCCCACAGAAAAGTCCCAGGACCCTCACCGAGACTGGGACACCTCTGCAAGTCCAGGACCTCCATGTCCGGGTCTGGGGATGGGGGGGTCCCACCCATCTCCCGGTGGCTCTGTGCCCGGTCCCGTGGGGCTTTATCCCCCACTCCCGGGCCAGTGCCAGTCCCGGCTCCATGGGGCACCGGCTCTGGAGGCAGCCCCGGCCCCGGGCTCGCTGACAGTGCCGGTGCTCGGCCACCCCAGTGCGGGGGCTGCTCCGCTCTCCCGCTGCCGCCACGGGCTCCCACCCCTCCGGCACGTCCGGGCCGCATTCCTGGCAAACAATCCCGTGTCCATCAGGATCCGGACTCTCCTGCCCCGACTGCTTCGCAACAACCCCGCTTCTCCCTCTTGCAGGTGTCTCGGCGTGCCCAGTTGCTGTTGAGGTCCCGCGGGACGCCCCTCCCGGGTGGAAAGGTGGCTCTGCCGGCGGCACGGACGGACATGAGGACGGCGGAGGACTCGAACGGGACGGTGCTGCACCGCCTGATCCAGGAGCAGCTGCGCTATGGGAATCTCACGGAGAACCGCACTCTGCTGGCCATCCAGCAGCAGGCCCTGCGCGGCGGCGGCGCCGGGAGCCCCCGCTCCTCGCTGGAGAGCCTCAGCCCGGAGGAGAGCCAGATGGTGCAGCAATCCACGCGGCAGGAGCCGCAGGGCCAGGAGCATCACTCCGACCACGTCTACTTGGAGAACAGCGTCTATCGGCTCTGCCCGCCCAAGGGCGAGGAGCTCCCCAGCTACGAGGAGGCCAAGGCGCATTCCCAGCTGCTGGCCTCGCAGCGGGGAGCGGCGGGCGCGGGGCTCCGGTTCGAGCCCGGTCCGCGCGGGGCCGACAGCGGCGCCCGGCGCCCCGACGAGGCGCTCAAGGAGCTGAAGCACGGCCACGTGCGGTCGCTGAGCGAGCGGCTCATGCGGATGTCGCTGGAGAGGAACGGGGCCAAGGCGCAGAGCCCCATCAGCGCTTCCCACAGCTTCCCGCAGCTCTCCCGGCAGCTCGTCCCCCTGCGCGGGCAGCACCCCGAGGGCACGGAGCCGCGGGGACCGCCCCCGGAGTATCCCTACGTCATCCCTTCCCAGGACGCTTACCTGGCTGAGCCCCGACCCTGCTCCCGGGAAGGTCCTGGATTTCAGCATCCTGAGATCAGGTAAACTCTGGCCCCTGGGCTCTGCTTTTGGATGCCTCCCAGGAATGTCCAGGATGGATGTTTGGAACTTGCAGGATGCGAAGGGCAGTGGGGGCCCAGAGCAGCTGCTTTTGTCCTCACTGGCACAGGCCATGGGGGGTCTGCCGGGAGCACCCTACTCTGCTCCTGTCCCCAGCTCCCCCAGCACGGCTGGGCTTTTCCAACCAGTGACGAAAATCCCATTCCCACAGCAGACCCTGCCTCATCCCCATGCACCAGGAAGGAGCTGGGGGTAACTTAAGGGATAATCTAGGAGCTGGAAGCAGCCCAGGAAACAGCTAAATGTGGAATAGGTATGGGGCAGGGTGGAAAACAAATATGGTCCCTGCTCCACAGAAACTCATGTCATGGTCCTGAGCTGGGAATGTCCATGTAACTTGGAATTGCTGCTGAGCAGAGCCTGGGCTGGTGCCAGGTGGTCTGTGGTTCCTTTGGCAGCTCAATGCCTCTGGCAAAGCTCCAGGGTGACTGTGAGATGGACATCTTGTGGTCCAGACATTACCTAGAATTTGAGAAGGACTGGAAACAGCCTCTTCCATTGTGGAAAATGATGGGAAGAAGGGAACTGGTGGCTCAATGTGAGGACACACTGCTCCCAGCCCTGCTGATCTATCCAGGCAGAGAGTGATAGCATCTCCAGCAGGAAAACCTTCTCCTTCCAGGGAACAAAGAGGGGAAGGGGAGCTGCGAGGAAGAAGGGGAGCTGCGAGGAAGATGTATTTATTCTTCCTTGCTCCTATATCATCCCGCAGGAATGCAGGCCCTTGGCGGGCAGCCCGCAGGGGAGCACAGCGGGGCCGGGCCGTGCACAGCCACCCTGCTCAGGGTATTCCAGGCAGGATGTTGAGGTGGGATGCTGCAGCAGTGGCACAAGGGGCAGCCAGGCTGGCCTGGCTCCTCCAAATATAAAAAGGATGCATCCATGGTTTGGCAGTGAGGACCTATGTCAGGAGTCTTTGCTTTGCATAGAAAATAAGGAAAAGGCTGGCTTCCAAGGTGCATCCTATGCCAGGCTGCCTGCAGCATTGCCAGGAAGAGAGGGACCTGGGGGGTTGGGAGCCCATCCAGACCCACTGCCCAGGCCCTGGAGGGGTCAGGTCAATGCATCCCTGCACGATGGGATTTGTGATTAGAGAGCGAGCGCTTCCCAGTTCTAAAAAAGCAGGATAGGCACTTCCACCTCCTTCGAGATGACTTGGAGGCACTGGCACGTGCTCGACGGCATGCTGGAGCTGCAGCCAGCCCTCCCACCCTGCCAAACCTTGACTCGCCCTCCTTGCTCTCTGCAGGGTGCTGCCCACCTCGGTGCCAGCCGCGTTCCTGCCGCTGTGTCCGGGCGCGCTGGGTCCGGCCGGCGTGGAGGCCCTGGTCAGCGCCCAGGCGGTGTCGGCTGGCAGCCGCCTGGCCCGGGCAGACGCCGTCCTGCGGGAGAACGAGAGGCTCCAGCGGGAGAGTGAGAAGCTGCGGCGGGAGCTGGAGAGCTGTGCCGAGAAGGCGAGCCGCATCCAGAAGGTGAGGGAGTGGTGGCAGCTTCCCGTGTCCCTCCTGCCCGGGGCGATGCTCGACCAGCTGCCGTGAAAATTCACCCCCTTTAGTGATTTAATCCTTTCTCCTCCTCCCTCTGGCGGCTTGTTCCCCTCGGAGCAGCTGCAGCACGGCAGCCGGGATTGGGGAGAAGGAGCCCATTCTCCAGTGACCCTCTCCCTCCGCCTGTCCCCCCATCCCGGCCGCCACAGAAAGCCCTTTGTGTGGCCGCGTACAAGGGGCGGCTGTTCCCCGTGGCTGGGCTATGGCAGAGCCAAAATCCGTGGAGAGACTCTTCCATAAGAGAAAAGCCCGAAAAAATCAGTTTTCCCCCCCAAAACATGTGCTGGGGGCCTACTCGGGGTGCACTGAGCAGCTCAGGTTGGGCTGAGCACCCTGGCTGGGCTTTGGCTGGCATCTCCCTTTCCTCATTCCATGAATATCTAACCCTGGCTTGTCCCTTCCTCCACCCCAGCTGGAGAGCGAGATCCAGCGCATCTCAGAGGATTATGAAAATCTTGTCAAGGCGTCTTCCAAGCGGGAAGCCTTGGAGAAAGCCATGAGGAACAAGAGGGATTGTGAGATGCGACGGCTGCAGGATTTCAACCGAGACCTGAAAGGTGAGGGGACCCTTTGTGTCCACATCCCCATGGGTGCTCTGTGTCCCTCAGCTGTTTCCATGGGAAACCAGGCTTTTCCCCCTTCCTCCAGCCAAAATCTTGTATTTAAATCTTAATTGGGCTTGATTGTTTTGCACCAGAGCGTTTGGAATCGGCAAACAAGCAGCTGGCCAGCAAGAACCAGGAAAACCAGGAGAGCAACCAGGGCAGCGTGGCCAAACTCCTGGCACAGAGTAAGTCCCGGGGCAAACCCATCCTTGCCCGGCTCCCGGTGGCATCTGCGAGCAGGGCCCTGCTGGAGGAGGAGGCGGGTGTCGGGCGGCAGCTCTCGCCCTTCCCCAGGGAGGATGGAGCAGTTCTTGGCGCTGGACTCGAGCCATTAATCCCGGCGGCCGGCTGGCGGCGTGACCCGCATTCCCCACATTCCTGCCGCAGCTCCGGCTCTTCCAGCACCGAGCCCGCACTCCCGCCCCACGCCAGCCCAGCCGTTCTCTCTGTCCTCCCTCCTGCACTTCGCAGCCATGCCAGCCTGGACTTTTTTTGGGGGAAAATGTACTTAAATTTTAGCAGAGAGATGCTGGTGTTAGTAGGAAGAATTGCATCCCCCTCCCTAAGGTGGCTGGATTCACACCAGGAAGGTTTCACCCTTCCTGAGCTAAAATTTAGGCTGGAATGTGGCATTTGGATGCTTTTGGCCATCTGCCCAAGTGGCTGGAATGCCCCTGACCCCCATTTGATAGGAGATCTGCAGGAAGGGGCGGCATGATGTCAGGAAGCAAAGAACCCCCACTGGGCTTCACGGACCAGCCTCGGGGAAGCCGAATGTCTGAGATTTGTGGGGTTCCCTTGCAGGCTACGAGCACCAGCAGGAGAAGGAGAAGCTGGAGCGGGAGGTGTCCCTGCTGCGCAGCGCCAACGAGGACCAGCGGCGGCGGGCAGAGCTGCTGGAGCAGGCGCTGGGCAGCGCCCAGGCGCGGGCGGCCAAGGCAGAGGCCGAGCTCCGGAAGAAACGAGCCTACGTGGAGAAGGTGGAGAGGCTGCAGGCAGCCCTGGGGCAGCTCCAGGCCGCCTGTGAGAAGCGGGAGCAGCTGGAGCTGCGGCTCCGCACCCGCCTGGAGCAGGAGCTGAAGATGCTGCGGGCTCAGCAGGTGGGTGCTGGCGAGCCGCGGCGGCTCCAGCGAGGCGCGGCGGGTGCTGTGGCCTCCCAGCTCCTCCTCATCCTCACGGGGGCTTTGTTTTGGCCGCTGCAGAGGCAGGCGGGCAGCGTGAGCGGGGGGACGCCGGAGCTGAGCGCCCACACGCTGTCGGAGCAGCTGAGGGAGAGGGAGGAGAAGATCCTGGCGCTGGAGGCCGACATGACCAAGTGGGAGCAGAAGTACCTGGAGGAGTGCACCATGCGCCAGTTCGCCATGGACGCCGCGGCCACGGCGGCCGCCCAGCGCGACACCACGCTCATCAGCCACTCCCCACGGCACTCCCCCAACAGCAGCTTCAACGAGGACCTCCTCCTGGCCAGCCACAAGCACCAGGAGATGGAGAACAGGTAGTCCCACCTTGCCAGAAGCATTTGGTCCCATCAAACTTTTTGGTTGGGCAGTGCCTGGATCCTCCTCTTCCCATCCAGCTCCTCTTCCAGCTTCTGCCTTTCCTCCTTTCCAGATTAAAAGCCCTTCATGCCCAAATCCTGGAGAAGGATGCTGTCATCAAGGTCCTGCAGCAGCGCTCAAGGAGAGACCCCAGCAAAGCCCTTCAGGGCTCCCTGCGGCCGGCCAAATCCGTGCCCTCCATCTTCGCTGCCTCCGCCGCCCCAAGCTGGCCAGGGGCTGGCCAGAGTGACCGGTCATCCGAGGGCAGCTCCCGTGGCAGCACAGGTAAACAGGGACACCTGCTCACTCCCTGCCTTCACTTGGCAGTGGGGACCTGCTTGCAATTTTCCCTTGTGGTTTTGGAGCTAGAGAGTTTGGGGAGGGGTGATTCCTCCAGGACCAGCCAGCAATAACAGGATCTCAGAATGGTTTGGGTTGGAAGGGACCTTTAAGCTCATTTTGTTCCACCCTCTCCTATGGGCAGGGACACCTTCCACTAGTCCAGATTGCTTCAAGCCCCATCCAATCTGCCCTTAAAAAATTGAATCCCTTATTACCTTGAATCCCTAACAGAGTCTCCTCCAGCAGGCAAAGCCACCACTGAAGGGACAGCAGTGTCCACTGCCTTTCCTTTGCCATCCCACTCCAAACATGGCAGCAAGGACGGCAGCACGCAGACAGACGGAGCGGCCGGGAGCAGCGAGCAGGGCGAGGGCACTGGAGTGCTGGGTGAGTCCCCCTGGATGGCACGGGACAGGGAGTTGGGATGCCCCAGCATGTGGGCTTAGCATCCCTGGGACGGGATTTGCACAAGCATCAGCAATTTTTTAAGGCCCCAATTGAGTTGGGTGGGTTCGAATCCCTGCGAATCCCTGTAAATCCCTTCTTTCTTTGCAGAGAGCTCAGCCACTGCCAGAGCCCTGGACCTGTCTGACATGGTGGAGATCCTGATTTAAGGCCACCCAGGGCTGCACGGTGGCCTCTCCTCCCCTCCTGCCAGCGTGTCGGGATGGAGAAGCATCTGGGAAGGAGGGGCCGAGCCGGGAGCTCAGCAGAGTCCCCTCGGCCGGTCTCGGCCGTGACTCTGGGGTGTGGGAGGGTCACTGTCCCCCTCGGTGCCCACATGGGTCCCTGGCTGCGCAGGGCGCGCCGGAGCCCGGGGACCCCACGGTGGCTTCATCCCCATCCTGGCTCTATCCCAACTTCATCCCCATCACAGCTCCCACTTCTGGGTCTTGGCCATCTGCACAGACCCAGGTTCTTGGCTTCTGACTCCAAAATCCCTCTCTGGTCGCCTGAACTGTGCCCACAAGCTGAAGTCTCTGCACGAGGGCAGAGCTGGGAGGGATCCTCTGTGGGTCCCATCGACCACCTTGATCCACGTGGCCAAGCCAAGCACTGGGAGCACCAAACTTCCATCACCTGCATCCTGCCTCTGGGTTTTCATCATGGGCGGGTGAGGGCTTCGTGATGGGGTGACAGTGAAACAAAAATGACAGTGGAGGGGATGGAGGGTGGAGGAAAAGCAGAGGTGAAGGTCTCCGAGGATGCTGATGGAGGCAGCAGGATGTGCCGCTCTTCTCCTGGCTGCATCCCCTGGCTACTGGCAGCTGGCTTCTGCCCGTAGCCAGCGCTGACATCCCGCTCCTTGGAGCTTCCCATCCTTGCCCTTCATGTAAATATATATATTTTTCTTTATTTCTTTCCCCTTTCAACATGTGCATTTGCTGGCCAACTGCATTTTTTATTTTTCTTTCCCCAGACACGTAAAAAATGCGTTCGGTTCTTGTGCATTGTTTACAAAATGGAAAAGAAACAAAAAATTATGAAAGAGGAAAAAAACCCCAAACCCCATGACTTAATATATTTTATATTAATATTGGTATTTCTTTTTAAGTATTTTTTTCGTGCTGTGAACTTTTTTTTCCTGCCAAAGACGACAAGTTCTCGTTTGTGCGTTTTAAGTTATCTTTAAGTATTTAAACATAAACCTGGCTGTTTCGTTATGCCACCCTATACCGAGATTGCTGTAGCATTCCACTTGGTATAACAATATTTTAATAAAAAAACCCGAATACTGATCCATGGATTCTCTTTTTTTCCATGCAATGCAGAGACATGTAGGTGCCACCAGGGGAAGAGGGTCTGGGAGTGCTGACTCCCTGGTTCACATGTCCATCCCAGCTCCCCAGGGCAGAGAGATTTGGGGTGCAGCTGCACGGGAGAGGGGAAAAAATGCTCAGGAGCATTTCTGCATTCTCCAAAATCCCATTGGGATCCCATTCCCCTCACCTTCGTGGGGGCAAAGGATGGAGTTACCTAAAAGTGTTGTAGTTTCCTTCCTGCTCTGGCATCCCTGCATCCCTGTGTCCTCCTCAATCCTTGCACCCGCTGTCCTTGATCTCTGCATCCCATAACTGCATCCTGATGGGATCCTCCTCTTCCTCACAAAACCTCCTAAGCCATTGCCACAGGGACTCCCTGATGTCTTCCTGCATGGATGGCCCTGGTTCCCAAGCTCTCCTTGGCTTTGTCAGCCATTTCCAAGCCCTTCCCGCTCTGCCTGGCTCCTTGGTCTTCCAGAAGACCAGAAATTTTCCAGGGGCTGGATTTTTATATTCTAATAACTGTAGTGTTAATGCTTCCAAGAGAACATCCCTGGGGACTCTGCCATCTCCAGCCAGGCCAAGGCTTTCCCTTTTTGCCACCCCTTGGCATTAACTGGGAGCTCATCTCGGTTATCCTGCTGTCCCAGGGGACCAGCAGCTCTTGTACTCTGCAATGGTGTTTAAACTTGGATTATGCGGAACAACAGCATCAGAAATCAGTTTTGCTGCCAGCTCTTCCATGGAACCGTGGAATCATGGAACTGTTTAGGTTGGAAAAGCAGTTCAAGATCATCAAGCCCAGCTGTTAACCCAGCACTGCCAAGGCCACCACTAAACCATGTCCCCAAGTACCACATCTACATGGTTTTCAAAACTTTCAAGGATAGCGATTCCTGGACAGGTTCCATTGAGGATCACTGGTTATGGTGGGACACTGATGCTGAATCCCAGCTGAGCCCCAAGCTTCCCACTCAGGAATCTGGAAGAAGTATGGCTAAAAAATTAAAATTTGGGTCTTTCTATGGCTGTGGGACGGGTCTCCATCCCCGAGGAGCACGTTAGGGAGACTTGGAGCAATGAGAATCTTGGAGCTGGGATCTTCCTATGCGCCAATGGCTTCTCCTGGGTGTTGCAAGCAGGAAAATCATCTCTGCCCATGAAGAAGGCTGAAAAGGACCCTGAAATGGGGCCAGGAATGGGAAGAACAGGATGGGAATCTCACAGGGAACTGCTGAGATTGGGAATATGTCTGGGGGATTCTGGTGGCCTCTAGCCAGGGCTGTACCTGCCCTGCCTCCCCCAGCTCCGGCCGCTCCAGAGCTCGGGAAGGCCGGCAGCATTCCTGGCATACCGCAGCTCTCACACCCCATGCTTTATTTACCCAAATCCGGATGCAGAGTGGCCTGGTTGCAGGTCTGGCTGTTTGCAGGGAGCTTTCTGGGACCAGGGATTTAGGGAATGGGCTTCCTGTTGAGAGCTTTGCCCATTGATCCTCATCCCCAGGGCTCTCAGTCTCTGGCAGTCAGAAAAAAGTACAAAGCCCACCTGTGGATACAGGGATTGGGCTGTAGGGAAAGGATTCCTAAATCCAGCAGGTAGAGCAGGAGGTCCCAGCTGCTCCTGCCACACTTTTCAGGAGCTGTGTGCTTTGGTAGGGATGCTGTTCAGCCAGAGCAACATCCCAAAGGAGCTGCACACCTTGGCCATGGAAGCTGCTGTGGGGGTGGGTGTCACCTGCTCTGTCCCCACAGGCGTTTCCGTCTGCCCTTCCCACACCGGCTCCCTGGATTTCACCATCGGCATTGCCTGGACCCACTTGTAGGGAACGCTGGGCTCCAGGACAGCTTTGATGAACGGAGATGAGAGATCTCTGCAGGCTGCTCTTGGGATATCAGGTTTATTAGGGATGGAGAAAGGTCCTGCTTGGAGCTGCCAGATGCAGCACGTGGCAAAGACTGAGGGGATGGGAGACGGGAGAGACAAGGGGTAGAGAGGATGCTCTGGGAGAGGGTGAAAGTTCTAAGAGGGGAGAAGGTCTAAGAGAGGGGAAGGTCTAAGAGGAGGAAAGTTCCAAGAGGGGGAAAGTTCCAAGAGAAGGGAAGTTCCAAGAGGGTGGAAGTTCTAAGAAGGGGGGAAGTTCCAAGAGGGCGTCTGGCTCCTCAGAGACCCTTTATCAGGGGGCTTCAAGGTGGGCTGGAACAAGGCTCAGGCCAATGGGGTTACAGGCACTTGATGTTTCAGGGGAGGGTTACAGGTGTGGGGTGAACCATACGTTTTGGGGGTTGAGATAGAACAGTCCATTTGACTTTTGGACTTATCTGTAGGTAAGGGTATTGTCCAGCCAGTAGGGAGGATTGTTTTCATCCTGGCTGTACTATTGTGAATCTTCTGCCAGGCAATTATATTTATCCATCCTTTCCAACACCCACTGTCCTTTATACCATGTCTGTCCTTTATCCCATGTCCCTGTCACCATGGCACAGTTGAAATACCAGGTGGTAGCCAAACCTCCTGCTCCCATCCCTGTGATCTCTGCATCCTTGTGTCCCTCCAGCCCTGTGTCCTTCTGCTCCGTGTCCTTCACCTCTACATACCTGTGTCCCTGCATCCCTGTATCCTTTCTAGGACACAGGGCTCCCAGGCCTTGGCAGGGGATGCTGGAGGAGCCTGCAGAGCTGTGGGCTGGTCTGGCACCTGGACGAGACTCCTCCTGTGGGCTGCATACCCTTCTCCATGGAGAGATGGGAAAGGGCCAGCAGGCTGTGCTCCAAGTGCCACCAGTGTCACTTTGGTGGTTTTGGGTGGGATGACCTATCCCAGGGCAGCAGCTCTTGTGGGTGGCAGGGAGATGGCTCGGCTGCTCCAGGGCTGTCTGGGGAGTTCTGGTCCCTCTGTGGTCACAGTGGGCTGGGACAAGGCCAAGGATCTCCATGGGGCTCCCTGGCTGTCCACCAAGCCCCATTCCCAGCCAGGAACACCCTCATTCCCTTGGTGCCACACCACAGCAGCCTCTCTGCAGCTGTGGTTCCTGCTTTTCCTCATTTCTCTTTGGAGAACATTGGAACTTGGTCTTTGGAGCATCCTTGAATTTTGGCGTGTCCATTGTGGGCCCTGCTCCTCCTCCTCATTTCCTCGTGCATCCCCACTCATTTTCCACTTGCTGAATGCTAGAGCTGAATGGGGAGAGACAAGCTCATCACACTCTCCTTTGTATGGAAAACTGTTTAAAAAAAAAAAAATCCTCCCTGGAATTTGGGAGAAAGGGAATTTCACCCCCCCCACCTTCCAAATAATCCTGATCCTCGTGGGGGAAGTCTGGCAAGGCTGTGGGCCGGTCCTGCAGCCGCTTCCCAGCAAACCAGTCAGGCAAACCGGGTGCTTTCTCTCGCCTCAAGTCCCGGCTTGCTCGTCGGACCGGCAGGAATGAAGCTCTCCCCGCTGGTCCTGCTGAACCCTTCCCTTCCCCCTCCCTCCTTCTCTCATCCCACCCCTTTCCCGGAGGTCCCCCAGCCTTCCAGGCTCCTCTCTGTGTCCAGAGCTTGTTGGTGGGTGCCCCCCGGGCTTTCTTCTGCCAGGGGGTCAACGCTCCCTTCCCGAATTCCTTTCATCGGGATTTGCATTCCACTGCAGAATGGGGCCACCCCAAGGTGTCGCCTCCCTTCAAAACATCAACGTGTGTTGATTTTTGCATTCCCCTGACCCTGCACCCCTCTGTCTTCGATCTCTGTATCCCTTCGTCCTCAGTCCGTGTCCCCCTGGCTTCCCACGACCCTGCGAGGGGGTGGCTGGGGATGCGGCTGTGGCAGGGATGGGATCGCGGGATGGGGGTTGTTATTTAGGGGTTGGCC